TTTTTTTGATGGCGTATTTAACATAGGTGAAATTCTACATTTTGAGCATTGGAGGCTTCGTGTTGCAAAACTACTTCAAATGGGGAAAGCCTGTCGGCTCTGACGACTTTTCTGTGTTTTAAATGAGCTTTGTTTTTTCCAACCACAACTTAAAATTTTTCTGAAATGGGTAGACTTTCCCCTTGGAAAGGAAAGCATTAAAGCTACCTGAAAGATTCTGCTGTTTTAGCAAGATTTTAACACTTTCCAGGGGCCAGCTGTGTTTTGGAGGGCCGTGGAAGACCCGGTATTAAGTGGGGGCCATGAGTGTGAGCGTAGCTGGTGGCTGGGTGATGGAGAGAGGGAGGCAGGCAGAGAGTCGTCCTTTCTGCTACGGTTACAGGAGGGGATGAGCAGCTCTTCTGAGACTGGAAAGGAGGGGAAAAGGATTCCGACTGTGAAGAGCTGGAGAAGCTGCTTGTCTTATTAGTGCTGTCATTTATTTTATCTTTTTAGGCAATTTTTGGAATGAATTTCAACATAAAAGTACATGTTTCTCTTTTATAGCCACATTTAATATGTACATCGGGAAACAGTACAGAAAGGTTAGGTGGAGTTTAACCCTTCTAACAGCTCTTGCAAGAAAAACACCAGGTAAATTCTGAAATTACTTTTAACGTGGCACACCTGCCTTGGGTGTTCCCGTGTTGTTTTTAAGCACGTTCCACTATTCCAATTCTTCGATGTTCGTTTACACCTTGTGAAACTCCAGTGCTAAAAATGGAATTTTCAGTGTCGGTTGAGGCCACGACCTTTTAACTGTTTTAAGTGGACGCGTATTTTGTGAGTGTGTTAGCAGACAGCTGAAGCGAGCTGCCAGCACTGCTGCTGGCTGTCAGCTCCGAAATGAGGAGAGCTATTCTTTGGTAGTTGGACTGTGTTTTTTCTACAGACTTCAGTTCAATTAAGTGAGCTTTTACCATGTATGTTGTTGGGGCTTTTTTGTTGTTGTTGTTTAGGGTTTTTTTTTCTTAATTCCTCTGTGAAATACTGAGCCCTTGTAACTTAGTTTTGCAGGCAAGGGCTACATTGTCTTTTGTTTGTGCAGGGTTTATAAAATAACATGCTGCTGTTGTGATTTGTTTCAATAAGCTAATTTCAGCAATATATTCAGCTCTGGAAGTAAGCCATACCGTACTGCTAGGTTCCGTTTCAGAAGAGGAATGCGTAAGGTACGGAACGACCAGAAACACTTGCTTCAAGCGCTGCTGTCTAAAGCTTTGTGCGTGCGATCCATGCGTTTGGTCATGCCCATCTCGGATCTTTATTAATTCAGCTGTGTCTGTAGTTATTGTGTGAGGAGAGACCACACAGTGCTGCTCGGAGAAGTTAATTTATTGATGCGTAGTTAACAAGGCCACCTTCATGGCAAAAATGTAAAAGTAATTTCCCCTCCCGATTTGATGTGTGTTCAGCGTGGGAAAGCTGGGCTGTGCTCCAGACACTTCTTGCTCCTCCGGACCTCCACCGTCCAGCCATGACCAGGAGTTTTTAAATTCAGAAAGTTGGAGTTCATCCATAGTTACAGAGGGCAAATCCCAGGAGACTGTATTAGAAAAGCAGGGTTTTACGGGCAGACTGTGGTACTTCTTGAGCTTGGACAGGGCTGAAGAAATGTGGTGGAAGGAAAGGTTTTCTCTGGTGAGAGCTGCTCCTCTTCACTGGTGGCACAGCTTGAGGTGTCTCCCCTCTCTTCTCTCCTTTGTTTTCCCTCTCTCAACTTTCAGAGGTGCTGTAAAATTCCTTGAGGCTAAATGTTTTCTGTATAGTAGGTATTTTTATAGCCTGCTTTTGAATATACTGTGATGAGTGTTTTACTAAGTTGGGTGTCCAGTAAAAAGAATTGTATACAGGTGTGTAAATAAACTGTTATGCTGATACTTGAAGAGAAAAAGAAATACGAAGTTGTCTGTTCTACTTTAGGAAGGTACTAAATTACAGACTGCATCGACCCCTTCTAGCGGGTGAGAGCGAGTATAGACAATGAATGTAGATTTGAAGCGAGTGATCGGTTCTCCCTGGGGCGTAACCACCTTTCTGGAGAGGCGCTGCCAAGACTTGCAGATTATGGTCACTGTCTAAAAGCTGTGCGCGTCCCCTGCCCCTGACTGAACCGTCACTGACAGCGTCCCCACCTTGTGTATTTGTACCCGTGTTTATTTTACTGCCTTCTGACTGTTAATGCACTTGCTAGCTCAGATGCAGTCTCTCAAACGGGATTAAACTGTCTTTTCTTACATCGTTGGCCTTCGTTGTAATCTTTCAGACAAATGTAATCATTTGACCTTTGATCCAAGTAATAAAGATCAAATGCCACAACGTGTGATGATGTGTGTTTCTCTCCGTGTCCGTTTACAGTAGCTGAAGTTCCAGGTGAGTGTTCCTGCAGCTCAGCGGGTTTCCACAGGTTTCAGAAGCATAGGAATTGTAGTGGGGTTAAGAAAGCTTATATGTAGGCGTAAGAATTATGTTCATTTACTCCATTGGTTGGTTTACTTTGGCAAATAATTATAAGTAAAGTAACAAACTCAATAACTGCGGAAGATGTTCGAAGCTGTTGAACAAACACAAGTCAAGATTTGCACGTAACAGGAGAAAGGTAAGACTTTATTAATTTTACCTGGTCATTGGTGGTTTAAGATCTGATGCTACACTGTTGTTATATTGTCTTCCAAATACTGCTGCTTTTTTGGGAGAGCTGAAAGCTAACAGCAAAATGCTGCCTTCTAGTACAAATTTGCAGGTAGATGCCATTAAATTTGCAGGGGTGCTTGTCATTATGAAGGTTGAGGACAAAATTAATTGCTACTTTGTGGTTTAGAATTACGTATTCAAAATTTCATATCTTGTCTATGCTCTTGGGTGGTAACCACTTGTATCTTCTCTGGTAGGTGGAAGGAGTGTTTTCTTTGTTTTTAACTCTACTGTGTATTTATGTTTGCGTGGGAGGTAATTTTGTTTGTTCTAGAGCTTTTAGGCTGTTTTCTGGACAAAATTCTTTAATAGCTTTGTCTCACCATAGCGTGAGGATGGCCCAGACCGTGATCCTTGAGGGAACCCATCTGTTTGCTGTTGGCCAGGCGGCCCTCGGGCACAGCAGTTCAGGGAGGAGATCCCCAAAGCTGTGTGACCGGCTGAGCGTTCACTTCTGGTTGCTGCAAGGAGCTAATGTCTGCGGCAGGGTAGTTCCCTGATGAGGCGGCGCCGTTAGCATAACGCCCCTGGCTCACCAGTACTGTGCTGCTGAGGAGGAGGAAGGTAGTCACTGCTCCGGGGCGCAGAGGCGTCTCTGCCCGGGTGTGGGAAGCGCAGCCGGGCTGGTGGAAGGTGCGCTTGTGGCAGCAGGAGCTGCTCCGGGGAAGTTGGTCAAATCCCATCTGAAAGTTGCTGTGTGAAGACCAAGGTCCCTCCTCAGCAGGTCTGGCACCCGTCACTCCGCAGCACAGCAGGTGAGTGCTGTGAGCAAAAGTTCCCACAAGCAACAATTACTACTTGTAATTCATTACAGGTTCTTGCCCTCCAACTACCCAGTGCTGCTGGCAACCGTGTCCGCGACTGCTTAAATAGAAAAGCATTTCTGCTTGGGTGCAAGCATCCAGCACACACCTTTGAAGACAGAATAACTTTCTGGTGAAAAATGGCAAACCAGAAATGACTTGGTAGGTTACTTGAAGGGGGGAAAAAGCCCCAAGTTTGCTGCTGTCCCTGGCAGCAGCTCGCAGCGTGCTGTTTGCTCCCCTGTGCCGAGGGTTTGTGTAAGTGCGTGCGGTGGTAACTAGGCAAACCCCGTCTGTTTGGAAATGCCAACTGTGTTCTGACTCTTCCAGCCTCGCTCTGCTGTGCACTTAGATGACATCCAAGTCTTACTGGCATTACTTGAACTATAACAATAAGCCAGAGCTTTGTTTAGAAGGAAAACAAAGGCAGCACTGTATTTTTTTGAGTCTCTACAAAATCTTGAGGGGGGTGTGTGGGATTGTGGGTGGTGCTGCCTTTCTCCTGCTCTTTCAGCAGGATTAAGTCTGAAACTACCCAGAAGCGACAGGGTGCTCCTGAGAGTCTGCAGCATTGTGTAACTGTTGGACAAACTGATACTCACCAGTACATTTTTTCCTTCCTGCTCAGTGGTGGAGAAAATTAACTTATTTACAATAATGTTAAAAGATGGAGAAAGCTTTTCAGGCACAAGGCACCTCGCTTCATTCGGTATTTTACTAACTGACTGCAAGAAGAGTTTTGGAAGGAGCTTTGCAGTAATTACGTTAGTTTTTCTTTGCCATTAATGGTTAAAAATCAAAACTCAGAAGTAGGTATTGCAACAAAGCAGGATCTGGTTTTGTGCCCTTTTTACAGCGTGTAGAAGGAGCCACAGCTGTGGTATTAAAACCAAGCAAATAAAACTGGAAGAAAGGGTTTGTGCTCGGCCGGCCATTAAGCAAGATGCTTCCTCTTGGGCAGAGCAGGGAAGTGGTGCTAACGCTCCACACGGTCGTTACCTGATGATTTTCTCCTGGTGAGCTGCTGTGAGCGTTGCCTATTGCGATTCATAGGAAGTGGCGTTTAACAGCAGAAACTCGTATTCCCAGGCAGCACACTTGCCTAAGTACTTGGTAAGTACTTAGGCTGCACTGTTTTAGGCTTATACTGCCTCAGAATAAATACAGAGTATGATCAGCGAAGCCTGACTCCGCTTGGCACTGACTGCTCTGAGACAGACATTAGAAAAAATAGAGACTTTATAATATAACATTAAAAAATAGAGACTTTATAAGGAAGTACTGAGTGGCATGGAGCTGCTTCCCACAAGAGCTGGTATTACACTGAATCCGTCCTTAAATATTTGTGGGTTTTGTAAATGATCAGCATTTACCTATTACTATTTTTTACTAGTTTATAGACAACTGGAGTTTAATTGTATATTCTAGAAAAGAAAAAATCCCAAAGCCATGAATGAAAGTTTAATGTAACTTTCTTTTAATTGAAGACAAATAAAAGAACCAAGGGCTCAAACACTTTTTAAAAAGACATCTTCTGTTTCCCAATGTCTTCTCTCGAGCAAAATATACAGCATATATATTATATATAACTACATTCAAGTACCAAACAGAATTTACATTTTCCCAAATAGAGAAAATAATGCACATGATTCACATACCTTAAACCCAACCATGCATAAAAGAACACTGCCAATAAATCAGCAGTTGGACATAATCACACTATTGTGTATTATTCTGAAGTATCAACAACATAGTTGGAACACATAACACTTAGCACTTGGCAGTTCTCGGGTTATAACGTTTAACCCTGCTTTAAAGTCTGACCCTCTCAGAGACTTACTTTTCTAAGATCTGTTCAAATTTAGGGTTAATAAAAGAAAATCCATCAAATGCAGACTGGTCCATGGACTCAATCAGGTTTTTGTCACTGTAAGACAGTTTTGGCTTCTCGCTCAGAAATTCTCTGTCAAAGTTGTTGTAGTCGCTTGCTGACTTCTGTGTTAAACAGAGAGGGAAGATAATTTTAGACAAGCTTTGTCATTTCTTCCAGAACAAGTTGCTTAAATATGAGAGGTTAGGAACTTCTTTCTTGAGCTCCCTCCCTCTTCCCCTTCAGAGAAAAAAAAAAAAAAAAAAAATCTCTTTTTTGCCTATTTTAACAACACTGTAAGACTGTAACTGTGAAATTCCTTATCGTTAGTTGAAAACAAACAGCACCAGGGCACTTGGGAAAAGAACGTTTCATAGAATTACCCAAAGATTCTCTGTTGACCAAAGCGAAGTAGCACTTACGTTTAAGCCCAGCATTTCTTGCTGTTAACCAAAATTTTTAAATTCCTGAAAGCACTTGTACACGGAAAAAGCGACGTCCTATTGCAGCTGATTTGTGACTGAATAAAATATTTGTGCGTGTTTCATAAAAATTCACATTACTAAAGACTATGTTTTAAACTTTGAACCTCCAAAGGTTGGTAGGACTTTTATGTTTCCAGAGTTCCCCTTTCTATAGGAACATGCAAGATGGAGCCTTCTGTTCTCGACAGGGACAGCTCTCCTCCATCGAGTACGTAAGTACACTTTAAAGAGACTGCGTTACCTCCAGACCATTTTACCTGTACCAGTAACAGGGTGGAGGAAAACTGGTTTGGATTTTTACCCAGGTGAGATGAAGCAGCATCATCCCAGGGTGATACAGACCGAGAGTAACACACTGTCTGTTCTGTAGCTGTTTTTTCAGGTAACATTAGGTACGTACATTACAAATGGTTCTAAGTTCAGTAGCATAGAGAATGCCTCTTGCCCACTTGGAGACTCTGGGATGGTATGTAATGCTTTGCAGAATGCCTGTGGGCAGTGACCGACTGAGTAGCCCCAAGTTATCGGTCCTTCTCCCACATGGCATTACAGAAGAGAAAAACACAATAAACTATCAACATTTCCAACACTGAGGCATATAAAACACTGTATTGTTCCAGTGATCTAAAGATTTAGGAAGGATGGATATCAGAACTACTAGTTGACTTTTGCTGAAGATTATAGTCCTGAAGATTATTATCTGCTCCTTGAGAGAGTATAGGAAAACACTCTTAAGATGATTTCAGGTGAGTCAGAGGAATGTAGTGCACCTTTTTATAACAGAACCATTCAAGAACAATGGGGTTTGGGATATGTCACCACCTCATTTATCAAATATGAGGGGAACCTTGCAGTGGAATAGTTTGAGCAAGGTAAAGGAATCGCCCCTCACCCCGAGGCTGACGTGCAGTACTGCTACAGAACAAAGAACAACCCACGTACCACTTTTGGCCTGAAGGGAGGGTCCACCTCCCTCTTCTCCAGCGCCGTCCAGTTGATGGTTTTGAAGAAAGGATGGTCTCTGATATTCCCGGTCACCCCAAGTCGTCTTGTTGGATCCCTTTCGAATAGCTGCAAGAGAAGATAACCCGCTAAAGCCTTACATTTCTCAAAAGGTAGGTGGCACTGGAAGAACAGTGGGTATACTGCTAAAAGAACACAAGTTGCTAACAGTAAGCAGACCATTAGCAATTAAGCTGATCTTAAAACCAATTAGGCTTTCCACTTGTAAAAGGAATTTGTTTGCCACTAACCAGCTCCTTCTAAAAGCCTAGATTTGTCCCTCCTAGGGACTGCGACCCACTTGTTTATCTTCAAGTCCTACCTTTTCTAATATATCTTTTGATTCCTTGGTAATCCAGCGTGGGTAGTGAGGGGTGTCCACTCGGATTGACTCAAACAATTCATCTTCATCATCCCCATGGAAAGGGGATTGTCCAATGAGCATCTCATACAGCAGGACCCCAAACGACCACCAGTCCACAGAGAACGTGTACCTCAAACCTTGCAGGATCTTGTTCCGCAGAAGTGCAGAGGAAGAAGTACAAGTAATTAGCAAAAGGCAGCAATATATACCAAAAAACAGAAGAGGGATTTTAAGAGAGAATCTTAAAAACTACGACATTGGGTGGGGGGGAATCCAGCTATTTGCCAAATTGTTGCCACTGACGCATACCTGCAGTTTTATCCTTGGCTGCTGTTTGTGGAAACGTGGACAGCTCAGCGAACAGATCTGTGCTCTCATTCAGAAATTTTCTCCATTAACTTTAAATAATCATGGCTTTTTAAACTTGCAGCTATAGAATATTTACAAATCTCAAGTACCTTCCATAGAGAACTCAGATTTTTTTTTTTTTTCTGTGCTAATTAGACTTTGACGTTTCTGAACTATTAGTCTACAGAGGGATGATTGATCACAACGGCCATTCTAACATGAGTGTGTTAAATCCATCCCTGCCAGACGTGGCAGTGACATACTGACCTCGGGAGCAATGTAGTCTGGGGTCCCACAGAAAGTGCTCGCCTTGTTCTCACCAACAACGTTTTCTTTGCACATTCCAAAATCAGCTATTTTTATGTGGCCTTCTTTATCAAGCATCACATTGTCCAGTTTTAGGTCTCTGCAAGAAGCGTTAAAAAACAGGGGAGTCATTTTTGTATTCAGCTGCATGCGGTTTCTTCACTGATAAACACCTACCCCACATTATACACAGAGGCTTTTCAAGAAAATAGTCACCCATCAAAACAATACCTACAAAATAGTACATTTGTACCTCAAAGGCGTTAGGGAAAAGGGAAGAATTCTCACTTGTCAGAGTAAATAAGAGCCTGAGGTGTATATATAGCGTGTGACCTTATAATCCTCAACGTTCGCTTTCAGATCCAAAAACGCAGCCAGTGCTTCTGTTGCTGCTGGAAGGAGGTGCGAGTTAATGCCCCACCGGCTGACACAGCAGTGCTCCACCACCTCCCTTCCTCAAAAGGAGGCTTGTTGGATTCTTAGAGGGTTTGGCAGGAGCGTGGAAGTCTGTAGCCTGCCCAGCTTTTAATACTACCTGTGACTTGTTCCTAGTTACAGCACGAGAGGGTTCGTGTGTTGTGGCCACAGTCTGAAGCGTCCTAATTCATGTCTTTTTTCAGAATTACACTATTCAATCAAATAAGAGCTTTTTAACAGCAGTTTCCAAAAGCTACATTCCCTCCCTTTGGCCGCGATGCATTTTTTTGTCCATCTGGCTGCAAAAGCACATACCAAGGAGGGCAGGCTGAGGAGGAACTGAACAGCCCTTCTGCTTACCAAGAAAGAGTTGAATAGAGCAGATAATTTTACGTGAGAACAGGGCAATCTTTTCTCCTTGGTACTTTACGTTCCCGGTATCGGCTACTTGCACTGCTCAGACGGTGAGCTGCAGCTCGACACAAGAGTCCCTGATCTAATGCAACGCACCATAAATCCTTCCATGTTTGGACACCAGCTGCTGTTCACCTGAGTAAACTGAATATATTTGAGATGGGGAAAACTCATGGTAACTTTGGGCACTGCACTCACCCAGCTACAGCGAGGTCTAAAAGCCTTTGTACAGACGTGCCCTTACATGCAACGCCTACCTAAAACTGCTCCAAGTCAGGGTCTCTGATTACACTGGTAAACACCCTCTGTGAGAGGGCAGGGGGAAAAAGAAGTACTTTTGGTTTTGGTGGTGTCTTGTTGGGAAATGGTACTGTTTCTCTGAAAACATTTCATACTGTGAAATCTCCCTCCAGGAACAT